CTCATCTCCAAGTCTACAAGAATTAATTGATTGGAAAATAACGATTCAAATTCCTGGTCATGAGGTGGATCTCTTTCTGTTTTTGCTTTCCTCTGAGGACCGAAACTGAGTAACATGAAGTAGTTCTCCTGGATACGTGGCCAAATGCGTTCGACGTCCGATTACCGCCAAAGCGGTACTGGTCCGAGTTTACAGATGTCCTAAAACTGGTACTACCAGAAGCTTATGCACCCCATTTCAGCCTTGTTGGGTTTCTACAGAGTTGAAAAACTCTCGTTTGCCCTTTTTCTCTATTCCTAACGCCTCCTTGTTCTTTTTTCCCCCACTCCTTCCCTTTGCCATTCATAGTGGGTAGCGGCTTCCCTTGACTCTTGAAATCCGTCTAGTAAGTCTTGAATTTTTTTTCTGAGTTCTTTGAATCCGGCACATTATGAAAGCCACCATTTTACCCGTTGTCGTGAGTTCCCTAATTCTCCCCCACCTCTCTTGAGTGTAAAGTTGATCAAGCACTGAATGCGTGTGTGCTGTGGGAACCCGAGATCACGTCCTCCAAGTTTGGGCATGGCAAGCGACGAGCATGTCAATATTGCGTCACTTATCGAGGGTTAATCTGCGCATATCCGGAGCGGTGTCGTTTTACTACACTCATAGTATACGTTTGCGCAATATGCGAAAGTTTTAATGGTGCCTGACGGACCCATAGTCACAATGGGACTACTGTAAATTACCATTTTTTGAAGTTATATGTCACTCCATGGTAAGAATTTCATTGATGGGAAGTTGCAATTTTCTTTTCGGCTTATAACTGGAAAAGTGAGGGGCTCTGAGATGTGTTGGTGGTCCCTGTGTCATTATCGACGGCGTACGACCGATGATTCTCGCCGTTAGTCGGCTTTCGTTGTCCCTCCGTCCGTGTTACAATGATGAAAACATTTGTTGTCCGGCAGAACAAATGACAAATAGCGGCTGCAAGTGGCAACCTCCAGCACCCCTAATGTCATCACCTGCTAGTTCACTGAGAAACTGGCTCAGGTTATGCCATTGTTCAGAGGAACTTCCATAAAACAGGAGGGCCTAAAAAAGTACCAGCAAATTCCTCAACAGGACCTCGAACGTTTTGTATAAATAACTAGTTGTCAGTGTCAGCCGTCAGTTAGAGAAATCGTAGAGGCTAATTGTTGAATTTGGAAAGTGATACAGTGCAATTCCCTGCAGTCTGGAGAAGAGCTCATCAGGAAACCCTATGTGGGTAGATGGTCGAAGAGGTTTCACAGTTTAATCCGGAAAGTATTGCTGTCGTCAATCTATTGAAAGTTCTGTAGTTAAGGGTTTCCTTGTATAGGTCTTGCCCTGCGAAATGATTGGGTATGTGAGTACCGTTTCTTGCTAGCGTCTGTACAATGTCTACTCTACCCTAGGTAAGAATGAATTATGTAGTGTTATACCCCCTTCCTCGAAGTCGATGACGTTGAACTTCTCCGGCGTTATGTCCTATCGTCTCGGTGTTCACTCCGCTACAGTTCTTACATTGCTGCGAATTCTGTGGCCACCGGTTGTGCAACGGTATCATCGCTAAGTGCTCTCGACAGCTCGGCTCCCACTTCAAATCGCAACACGGTTTCGCCGTCGTTTTGAAACGGATCACCTCGCCTCGTCGGGTGCTCATCTCATCGTGTCTCGTTTGCTCACCTCGTGTCTCGCCTCGTCAGCCTCTGTGGCGCTCTTGTGCGATTGTTACCGTGCAGTCACCTCGGGTGTGTATTATCAAGTGTTAGCGACGGTATCGTTCGAGTGTCCTGTGTTTGCCCGCTCGCTCGGGGCTACTACCGTAGCCTCACGAGAACAGGCAACAGCAGCAGCAACAGCCAGCGCTAAGAAGACCGCCAGGTGAATCAACCAGGAGGGTTGGTAAGTAGACGAGCGAAGACACGGCATTTGTCACAGGAGCATGACAAGTGATCGTCCACATCAAAGCCTCGCCTGCTGCTGTCGATTATAACAGGTCGCGGCCGTAGCGCGTAGTGTCGGTTCGTCCGTCACCAGAGGAACTAACGGCTCGCATCAATCTTCAGCCGATCAGCGCCGATTTCAGATCGAGCGCGTAGCCTCATGCCACCCCTGCTGTAGTTGCCTAAGGATTACATCGTCATGACTTGATTTCAGATCATTATTTGACATTATGCAGAAGCCACCATAGGATCTATTTGCTCAGTGATAGGTAGTACAGAGGATGGAGGTGATGAATGAGAGTTAGCGGCAAAAACGCGCGAGATTAGACGCCTGACATCGCAGCGGTGTAGCAGATGACGCCTATGAGGATTAATAGCAATGAATCCATAGACAATTAATTGAGATTACAGACAATTGCGATACTTTTTCAGTAGAAATGTCTGGATCGTCTGAGGCGTCGAATGAGCAACCCGATAGCGTTGCGATATTGGAACTGATAGGATTTCTGGCTCCAAACACTCGTCTCGACGTGCGACGTACGGCTCTTCAGTATGTTGTTTCTCTCAGTGGAGCCTTGGACGGCTCTGCTTCTCGACTTTTCATGAGCAATGACTGTGCCATGGGAGCGGTAAGTGGATACATAATTTTCTTTAATTTTCAAAAGAAACCGTTTTTCTAGGCTGTATGCAAGCTTTGTGAGAGCACAGAATCGGACAGATCCCAAACATTGTCTGCCCTCACCAACTTCTCATCTGGTTCACCGGAAGTAGCGAACTTCATTCTGACACGCTCAAGATGCACTCAGCTGGCTTTCGATGCCTGTCGCTCCCACACCATGTTCGCCAACTTCGCTGCTCGTCTTCTGGCGAATCTGTCGAGGCACTTTCCAGATCGAGTGAATGAACTTCTTGAGCAACACGATCCCAAAGCGCTTGATATTATTGTGGGTGAGTGCCTGTTCTACTCTTGACAGGAGTCAAAAGAGAGACATTTGAGGAGTCCTGTCCGATCGTTCGTGGTCGTTAAAAGGTCGTAAATTCTCATAACCATTGTCACTGATAGCGACTATTCGAAGCGTTGTTTTGGTGTTTTTTGCGCAACCCACAGTGCTACTTGCTAACATGAATTGGTTGACCAAAGTCGCCCTTCACTTCCTAATGCCGGCCAAGGCAAGCAACCATGAGCGCTATCTCTCCCATTCCGTCCATGATGTTACTGCGGTTGTCGCGAGTAATTGCATCAAATTGTTAAAGTGACTGGTGCGCTTTGTGTTAGCAAAGGACGAACTAGTTGACTGATAACAACCTTTTCACGGGTTTCAGCCCTATGAAACACCCATTGGCAGATGTCGGCATAGTGTCTCTAAGGATCTCACCTCATTCTTACCCCGACTGTAAAGGCTGAGCGACTCGAAAGCAACTGTTGGTGCCCTGCTAGATGTAGTGCAGGTTAATGTGTGTCATGGGCGGATGACAGTCTCCCTTCGCGATGATTTATGTGCTCGTTAGACGGAGTTATATGATAGAGGTCGGCTTTGATAGCATATCGCTCGGCCGTTACGCCATCTTGGTGTACATGCCCTAGTGAGCAGCTTTTTGAGTGCTTCTACATCATATGGGCTACTTCTGGTAGCCTTAATGACGTGACGATGAGGCAGTTGCGATGTCGAATGCTCATTCCCCATGACAGTGGCTGTGAGTTTTTCCCCGTCACACCGCCATTCCGTGTTCTCGTCAATCACGAGCGATCATGTTCGCACTACGACAAATCACGAAATTTCTCTTAATGATTGACGCTGCGACTCTTCGAATTGGCGTCACATCCCAGGCCGGCTGGCCAGCTGTTTGGTGTGACCGGGGGATGGCGACGCACCTTTTGAGTAAATGTTCATGCGCTCAGTAAAACCCATTGGGTTGTTCATCCCTGTACAGATGAATGATGACTGACTGACTGACTGACGAACGAACAACTCACAGACGTTTCCCCGCTTGAGTTCGCTAATTGAATCAGTGCGTTTGCAGTGTGACGTGTTGATGCGTATTGGGCAGGGTGTGAGAGGTGCTAGCGATTCTTTCGCACTCCGTTACCGGATACGGTAATAGGTCTCGCCTTGTTACACCATACCATACACTGACTGACCAGAACAGAAATAGAAAGGTGGGAAGCTTGCTGAAAGTTTATTACGCCCGAAAAATTAAATCATTCGGGCTTCATTAGCTAACAAACAAGCCAGAGGGTGAGCGCACGGAAGTGCCAGTGACGGCGATTTCCTAGTTTTATTTTTTCCGGCAAATTGGATAGGATCAGCTGTTATAGAACAGGATAGCTTATGTCGACTTCTCAGTTGGTGGGGTCCATTATTACCCTCAGCATTTGTAGTTGATGAGTTCATTTAGGACTTGTCGATAATATTTCATTTTTAAGATTTGATTATTTTACTTCATTGTTATTTTTACGGCTTTTTTTTTTTGAAGTTCACACACCCACACTTTGCATTTTAGATCTTTTTTCGACATCTTCTGAAGATACGACGTCATCGCTAGTGGGCTACACGCTTGTGAATATGTCAACATTGTCGGCAGTCAGACATCGTTTGGTCGCCAGCAGCTTACTAAATAAGATCTGCCCCCTAACACTGGTGGAAGAGAAGAAGGAGATGGCTGCGGATGTTCTGCGTAATCTAGCATTCGAAGACGGTCTGTTTACAAAGGATCTACAACAATTCTAGTTCTACCAACTCCTTTTTATGCTACCCTGATTATTTAAAATTATTCATAAAGTCTGTCTAGTTACCCCCAGCCACTCCAACGCTACTGTGCTAATCATTTAGTTAGTGTTTGATTAAGTTCCGCCACACAACAGCGGAGGTCAGCACCCAAAGTGGCAGACGAGTGCCTGAGTGCGTCTCCGTTTAATCGGACAAGCTTTTATGTAGTATCGACAGCAAGCAGCGGGTGGTAGCAAACCGCTATCCGTTCAAGTGCTACTTGTCGGTCGTACAAAGTGTTGACCGCAATCAGCCACAGCCTCCCGTAGCTCTGTGCGCGCTTAGCCAAAGCTTAGATAACGACACTTGACTTGATGTCACTTTGTTCTGTTCCTCTCGAGCACTTCCCCAACCACCGCCGCCACTGCTACCTCTGATACCTGGTTGACGCAAGGGCGCCGTTCTAGTTTCTTGCACTGTATCATGAGCGCCTCTCCAGCAGTGGCCTGGTGCTGGTTCATGGCTACGTTAACACGCGTGGCGAGAAAATTGAGAAGACAAGACGAGAGACACACAGTGGCGACAGAATCGCGAGAGGTTACCGGCGACATGAGCGATAGCAGCTTCGTGATGTGCGCACGCACGTTCATCCATCGCTGACGCCAGTTTTTCGCCCCCAACGTCCTTGTTGTGTTCCAGCCTTACAATTCTGTCAACGATCCTTTGAAGATGAGCCGCCGCGGTCGCGTGCTTCGTCGTTGCGCAGATAGTCATGATAGATGGGCCCGAGTCGTCGTCATGATACTCTACGCTCCTTGAACTGTGTTGGTTTTGTAGCGTATTCCATCGCAAAAACCGCGGTCGTCTTTACTACGCTCAGTTTATCCTCTCCTATACAGCTTGTTACTCTACTCTTATGCCCTACGATAAGCCAAGTTATCCCAGCACACTCAGCAGCTTCTCCTATATGTGAGTGTGCGTGTTTGCGCAGTCTTTGCGAACACTCTCTTGACCTCATCCTAATCCGACATACGATACAACCGTGTCTGACAAGAGGAGGCCTTTGACTGTGATCGACGCTTAAGTGCTCAGGCCACCGAATCGCTAGAGATTGTGTTATACTACCGTAGCGAT